ACCACCAGACGGCTCCACCACCACCAGACAGCTCCACCACCACCAGACGACTCCACCACCCCCAGACGGCTCCACCACCACCACCAAACGGCTCCACCACCAGACGGCTCCACCACCACCAGATGGCTCCACCACCACCACCAGACGGCTGCACCATCACCACCAGACGACGCCACCACCACCAGACGACTCCACCACCACCAGACGGCTCCACCACCACCAGACGGCTCCACCACCACCAGACGGCTCCACCACCACCAGACGACTCCACCACCACCAGACGACTCCACCACCACCACCAGACGACTCCACCACCACGACCAGACGGCTCCACCACCAGACGGCTCCACCACCAGACGGCTCCACCACCACCAGACGGCTCCACCACCACCAGACGGCTCCACCACCACCAGACGACACCACCACCACAACCAGACGGCTCCACCACCACCAGACGACTCCACCACCACCACCAGACGACTCCACCACCACCAGACGACTCCACCACCACCAGACACCACCACCACCACCACCAGACGGCTCCACCACCACCAGACGACTCCACCACCACCAGACGACTCCACCACCAGACGGCTCCACCACCACCACCAGACGGCTCCACCACCAGACGGCTCCACCACCACCAGACGGCTCCACCACCACCAGACGGCTCCACCACCACCAGACGACACCACCACCACCAGACGGCTCCACCACCACCAGACGACTCCACCACCACCAGACGACTCCACCACCACCAGACGACTCCACCACCACCAGACACCACCACCACCAGACGGCTCCACCACCACCAGACGACTCCACCACCACCAGACGACTCCACCACCAGACGGCTCCACCACCACCACCAGACGACTCCACCACCACCAGACGACTCCACCACCAGACGGCTCCACCACCACCACCACCAGACGACTCCACCACCAGACGACTCCACCACCACCAGACGACTCCACCACCAGACGACTCCACCACCACCAGACGACTCCACCACCAGACACCACCACCACCAGACGGCTCCACCACCACCAGACGGTTCCACCACCACCACCAGACAGCTCCACCACTACCATCTGCGGGCAGCACCATCGTCATCGCTGGGCAGCTGACATCGCGACGCGGCTCCATCGGCCTTGGCGATTCACTCCATCGCCAGGCAGCTCCATGGCAATCATCACTGGGCAGCTCTACTGCTGGGCAGTTTCGTCACCGGGCACCTCCATCGCTATCACCAAGGCAGCTTCATTGTCATTACCGGGCAGCTCGATTGCCATTGCTGGGGGCAGCTTCACCATCATAGCCAGGCAACGCCATCATCCTCGCCACGGCACGCTGCCACCAGTGCCGGATTATCCTCGTAGCACAAGTAGCTACAAATGCTACGGGCCCCGCACTTTCAAGGGCCCCGCACTAAATGCTTTCATTCGACACTTGCTCTATTACTATAGTACTATACTGCCTTCAACTTTTTATGAACGGCTGGGTGTTTAAGATTAGCTATTTGTCGTATTACCTGGCTGTATAGCAAATGAAAGAATACAATTGCTTTACTATGCAAGTCAAAAAAAATGTGTGTTTTAATATTTACGTGTTTTTTTTTATTTAGGGCTCCTTTATAACATCATGCTACAGGCGCCGCACTAGCTTCATCCGGCACTGGCTGCTGCCAGGCGGTTCCATCACCAGGCTGCGTCATTGCCATGAAGAGGCTGAGCCATCATGAGGCAGCTCTCCCATCGCTTGTCGCTGGGCCGCTTAAATGGCCGCGTGCGACTTCATCGCCATCACCAGACCACTTCCATCGTCAATGCCAAGCGGCGCCATCGCCGGTGCTGTGTCGCGTCCACACCGCATGCCAGGCAGCGGTTTTGACTCGATGTAGTGGCTGTTTATTCTTGATCCGTCCTGTTGAGTTTGCGTTGTACTGCTCATTCTTGTGACGTACCACTGTCCAATGCTTGTCGTTCGGGGGGGTCTTCTACGGAAGAATGCCTTACGTCCATCATGGGGCGGGTCGTAGCAGGATTATTTTTCAACTTATGAACAAGACCCCCTATCTCGGATCCACTTAGTTCTTGCTCTACTTTTTGTGATGCCACTCAGATAGACCATTGCCCCTCGGGACCTTCCCAAATATATATTTTAAATGCACTCGATTCGCATTGCTCAATGTGCGTTCCCGTCCAGTAAATTAACTGATCAGCGATCACCGTCTTGGCTTCCTGTGTTTGACCAAGACCTGCCATAAGCCTCTTGACTGTTTTCCATTGAACGAGGTGACCCCATCAACTTTCTCTTTTTGACTGGGGTTGTGGTTTGTTATTAATTCACGCTCAATCAGCGCTATTCGTCCTTTGCCTCGACCGACTTTTCCTAAATTTGAGCACCTGGCGTTGCACTGGAGACCTAGTTGTGCCTAGCCGATACTGTTCATGAATCACCCTCCAAAGTTTATCCCCGCACTACTTTCTGAATTTGATTGAGTTGCTCTCGGTGGTGGTGTGCTTATGCTGAGCACAGTTAGACATTTGGTGACTTCAACATGTGTCGATGCGCCATCTAAACCTCTTGCTCGGGATTTCGTGGCCCTATTAAACTCTTGGCTTCACTCAGCATGTTCAAATTCCCACTCACTCGGGTGGACACACTTTAAACCTGGTGTGTTCTCTTGGGCTATCAATAACTGAACTAACTAGCATGGACCCAGGAATGTCTGATCATTCACTGGTTCTCTTTTATGTCCCTCTGACCATTCCAAGTCTTCTTTGGTTCTTTCGGTAAAGTCACGTAGAATGAGAATAAAATAATAAATTGATAAAATAAAATAACATAACACAATAATATTCTCACGACGTTTCGGCCACAACACAAGCGGCCTTCATCAGGTGAAGGGACGAGACTGTCTGGTAGGACAGACAGTCTCTTTTATCAATTTATTATTTTATTCTCATTCTACGTGACTTTACCGAAAGAACCAAAGAAGATAAATCATTGCAGTCACGAAAGCTTTAAATCGAAATCATTCCAAGTCTGTCCACTAAACACAGAATTGAATTCCGCAAAATCGCATCCATTATCCCAACATCTCTTACAGAGGCCCTCTCCCGTTCTCCCCTCGCTCAGCTCAGGAGTGCCACCTCTCCAGTGAGGAGGCTGATATACATATATTTTATACTTATCATATGTCAAATATCCTTATTCGTTTGGCTCCCCACCAAACTTGCTGGAACTCATATTCTTGGTTCTTTCGGTAAAGTCACGTAGAAGGGAAACAATAAGATAATAAAAATATAAAACAATAAAATTCTCACGACGTTTCGACTGCAACACAAGCAATCATAATCAGGTGTGAAAACCACAGCAAGAACATTTTCTTGCTGTGGTTTTCACAAGAAAATTTTCTTGCTGTGGTTTTCACACCTGATGATGATTGCTTGTGTTGCAGTCGAAACGTCGTGAGAATTGTATTGTTTTATATTTTTATTATTTTATTGTTTCCCTTCTACGTGACTTTACCGAAAGAACCAAGAATATGAATCCCTGCAGTCACGAAAGCTTTAAATCAAAATTTGCTGGAACTCCTCTAATCAGTCCTCCCCAGGGTCCACTCGTGATCAAAGGGCTCACAAATCCACTGTCCACAGAGCTGAACGTGCATGCCTACTCCAACAACGTCTGAGTCGTTACATCATCCTATATTTCTGGTCGCATTCTCTACCTTTAATTCTAGATTTAAAGTTTTCGTGACTGCAAGGATTCATACTCTATGTTTTTTTCGGTAAAGTCACGTAGGTGAAAAATTTAAATAAATTAAATCACGACGTTTCGGGCGCAACACAAGCGTGCTTCTTCAGGCAGGGACAACTTAGCGAAAGCACACCGCTTACCATCAGTCATCTTCTGCATGAGGGGGAAAAAACATTCAAACTCTCTCTCTCTTCCATTACCATTGGGCAGTTTAAAATGTCCACTACCCAAACCAAATGAAAATCTGTCCTCCTGATTCCCCTTCTATTTGATCTGCCCGTCTCCCGGTTCGAGGGCCCTTTGTTGGCTAATTTCACCACTACCACAACTTCAGAACTCAGCTCTTGATCGCTGATTCCCGTCGTACCTGTTGCCCGTTAGATCCCTTCTCTCGACTCTTACGGGATAACGTTTCTGCATGCGGGTCATTTGTCCTAGTCTCTTCCAAAAAGTTTATTGAGACTAGTACGGTTCACAGCATTTTTACGATGGCTGCAGTCATCCTACTCTTTTAGAAACCGGATCGTGATCCTAAGCTTCCCAACAACTCACGTCCAAGCTCTGTGTATTTCCTGCTTTCCATACTCGGTGTATTGTGATCTATAGATGATAAGCGCCTTACGAATGTCAATTATTATTATTATTATTGTGAACAGCTTTTTTTCCCTAAACAAAGATATAATTGGGTGCTAATGCCACTACTTAGGCAGGAATGCTGGTTTATGGAAATGTATATTACCGTAATGCATGTTAATCAGCATGTGCGAAATAAAATGCGGAAGATGTGTGTGATGCGGCAGAAGGCTTGCACTCGCATACGAATTTCTATTTATTTCTGCACAGCCTTAATTATTACTTCTTGTTCTCTCTCAAACGATGATGATGATGATGATAATCATGAATGCACACCTGCATACCATCATACCTCGGTGTGCTGTCAAGGTCTAAATGCATGCAAATTTGTGGAGGCAACTTGAGAAGTATGCTGTTCATTAGGTGTAGTGACATGCAAATTTAGTTGTGCGAATCATAGATTTATATAAGCAGGCAATGGTGAGTGCAGTATTATAATGTTGTCTTGCAGATTTTGGGTTAGGAATGTTATGCTCAACATATGTTCGGACTTTAACCCATCTGCCTTCAACTACATGGGCACGTCTTCGTGCTCAAGTGAATGCGCGTGGCGGTTACAGACGCGTGTGTGTGTGTGCGTTTGTGTCTCTTGCGTACAGGTGCAATTGTGATTGCCTTTGTTGTATGCTGGCTGCCTTACCATTCCCGCCGTCTCATGTTCTGCTATGTACCAGACAGCGCTTGGCATCCGTGAGTATACAATTATGGCCACACCTGCTTACACCTCCACTTGCGATTCACCACTTCAGCCACCACTGCCACTCAGGGTAGCCCAGGCATTAATTTATTTTGGAAATTGCACTGGCATTGGCCAAAAGTTGGTGGCTGTCAACAGGTTCCCTGCGCGGGAATCTTCAGCAGTGAAAGGAGCGACTGTAGTGCCGTTTGACCTCGGATCAAGTACACTGGGGATTGATTACAAACTAATGCTCAGGGTACACGATGGAGCACTTGTATTAGCGGAGTGAAACATTTTGCCGACTATACCCGACCTAACCTTTTTTTTCCAAAAACACCACTTGTCCACGCTTTGTATTTGTCGTCAATCCGCTTAATTAAAACGCGTGGGTCCAAGTAGTTTCACAAAATGTTATTGCGCTGATAATTATGTATTGTTAAAATAGCAATGCTATTTCGAGGAGCTTTGCAACATAACGCGTGCTCAGAATTGTGATGGGTTGCTTAACTACAGCTATTAGCTTATATTATGTAAGGCGTTAAGGTGAATATTAATTAAATTACACAATACGCAAACAAAAGCTCTGCAGTGCTTAATGTTATATTTTACAGCATGTGGTGATATTGGCCGCTGTGCCTTGAAGGGAAGAGCCTTTAGCGCTATAGATCAGGTTCCTTTCATGTGTGAATGGCCACCTTAAAAGCCACGCGTTGAGTGTTTTAAGGGCTCATGGAGATCTCGTACGAAGTGTCACCAGGGCGATGACTGACGCCTGTTGTAGTTTTCCCAGACAACAAAAAAAATCCCATTAGGCTCATCTTACCTTTAATACCAACAGTGATTGGACATTTATGACAAAGAGCTTTATAGCTCATTGATATCTTCCAGGATAAATAAAGATTCTGATTGTGCCCAGCTCATTCAAACTTCGCGTATTGTAATTATGTTGACCTCCGTGTGCTGAACGGAAGAGCAGCATCGTTTTATGGGACCTCGATGTGATATTGAAGTAGCTGAATTAGAATAGTCCCAAAATTGTCACCGGCAAGAATACAAATTGAGGCTGTTACAGTGAGCCCAATATAATATGGCAACACATTTGCAGGGCAGTATCTACTTAATTCATTTTGATGTAATTTCTAAACAACTAATGGCCACGAGAAAGAATATCAAATAATGGCAGCATATCCTATTTATTGCAACACAATAGTCTTGAGTTAATCATACACTGAAAAGTTAACTCCTGATATGATGAAGTTACCGCATAAATCTGACGCGAAAAAACTCTAGTTTCGGGCACACAATTCATCTGCCATAGATTTTCGATACCGTTTCCACATGGGTGACACGACGATACGTGTGATATACATTGGTGTTTGGAGAGAAGTTGTGACTGTTTTTTTCCATCGGCCACGGCCGTGTAAATGCCCATGTTGTGGATCAATTTCTGGAGCAATGGGACAGAAAGCGAGTTAAGAAAGCGAGTTATTGCGTGCAGTGACAATCCACACCTGTCAGGTCTTGAAAACGAAAACTCCGCTGCAAGGAATGGGTAACATTTACTACGTGTATTGTTATGCTCTCGTTTCTGAGCTCTGTGTTCTGTCCATTTTTTATTTTATAATTTACCAGGTCCTATGTTTATTATATTTTGTCTGACCTGCATCTCTTGATTGGTAGTACAAGTTAAAGGTGTAATGGTTAACACACTCCAGCAGCATCATGAGTACAGCACAGTTCATCGACAGGTCTGGCATGGTTGGGCAAAGTGTGAGGACTCCCACCTCTTCCGAAATATTGGGCCAGCGTACGATGGAGCAGGCCAACATATCCTCCATTAAGGGCTCTTGAGAACTCGCTCTGGTTTGAGGCCCTCTCACCAGCAGTTGACTGAGCAAGCTATTGCAGGGCCGCACCATTAACCTTCCCAGAGAAAACTCTTTCGTCGCGGTAACGTCCGGAGGAAATCCCCACTTTCGTCATCGCTCATTCTCTCGTAGCCCCCGGGGGGGGGGGGGGGGGGGGGGCTCTCTAGCTCACCTCGCCCCCCCCGCCCTCCCCAACACTTCTCCTTCTGTGTGCGTCGCCGTTGCAGCGCGGTGTTCAATTTCTACCACTACTTCTACATGCTCACCAACACGCTCTACTACGTGAGCTCGGCCATCAACCCGGTGCTCTACAACCTGGTGTCGGCCGGGTTCCGCCACACCTTCGCGGCCACGCTCGGCTGCCGACGAGCGGAGGAGCGGGAGCCTGGCACCATGCAGGTGTACACGCGCGCCGGCTCGAGCCAGTCGAGCGTTCACACCGTCACGTCCACCAACCACGACTGCGCAGCGCCCTGCTGCTCGAATCCCGGGAGGGCGCGCGAGGCGCTCAATTGAACGCTGAGCATTCCCGGGGCTGGAGCTGGGGGGGGGACGCTGCGCTGAGCCGACAAAAACTCGCACCGCCCGACGCACTCACGTCGTGCAGACCGTATCGTGGACGAGGGGAGGGAGGGAGGAGGTGGGGGTTGGTTGTTGTAAGCCTTTCAGAAGTGATTTTAGACAAAAGAAATGTCGCCACCTCGGTGATTTATTTACGTCGGATTGAGTTGCTAATTTATACAAACATCGTTATCTATACCATCGTATGAAACACAATTATATAGTTGGAAACGATAAGCCGCAGCCGCCGCGTGGCGTTTCGTGGTTGTTCTATATGGCTCTCCCGTGAGTGTTGTGCGTGGCAATGCGTGTTGCTCAGTTCCTGAATAAGCTGCCGGGGCGTGGAGCGAAACGCCAGACATTGTGTCGCAACAACGTGCGGTGTGACCCTAAAATGCATCGGAGAACTTTAAAGCACCCTTGGTGAATGATCACCCAATGAGCGATAAGGCTGAGAAAAGCCTTGGCTGTGGCTTTTAGGCAGGAATTACAACACTGTTTTCTGTCAGTAAATTGCTGATTAATATTTGGCATTGTAACGTGGTGAAATGGCTCGAATGCTGTGTTAAGCAGCAGTCTGAACCTTTTTTTTTATAAAAAGCGTATAATGTATTTATTCCATTTCGATTTAAAGCTTTCGTGACTGCAAGGATTCATCTTCTTTGGTTCTTTCAGTAAAGTCACGTAGAATGAGAATAAAAGAATAAAATAAAATAAGACAATAAAATTCTAACGACGTTTCGGCCACAACACAAGTAGCCTTCTTCAGGTGAAAGAACAGAACTGTCGGGACGACAGAGCTTCAATTAACGCTGGTAAGATTCGCAGCGTCTTTTAAGCTCGGTGAGAGGCGTGGCGAGCCTTGAAAAATGAGTTCACATATCAAAGCAGGAGAATTTAACATTGAAAAAAACTGGGGGATTAGCTTGTGACATAAATAGCTGTGTTAAAGTCAAAGTTTACATATCCACAGAGCCATTAGTATATGGACGCTAAAGGCCTCCAATTACCAACAATTATAAAGTAAACCATAGCGTATTTTAAGCTCGGTGAGAAGCGTGAAGAGCCTTGACAAAGGAGTTTACATATCAGAGCAGGAGAATTTAGCATTGAAATAGCCAAGGGATTAGCTTGTGACAGAAATAGCTGTGTTAAAGTCAAAGTTTAAATATCAACAGAGGCATTTAGTATATGGACGCTAAAGGCCTCCAATTACCAACTATTATAAAGTAAACCATAGCGTATTTTAAGCTTGGTGAGAAGCGTGAAGAGCCTTGACAAAGGAGTTTACATATCAGAGCAGGAGAATTGAGCATTGCAATAGCCGAGGTCTTAGCTTGTGACAGAAATAGCTGTGTTAAAGTCAAAGTTTACATATCAACAGAGGCATTTAGTATATGGACGCTAAAGGCCTCCAACTAACCAGCTATCATAAAGTAAACCAATGTGAAAAAACTAAGTCTATATCACATCAATATAATAAATGTACTTAATATATTCTTCAATAAGCTGAGCTATTAATCATACAGCAACTGGGTTTACATTACACTATATAATGAATACCATATAGAAACCAATAAAAATCTAAAATATAAGCTCCTCAATGTTATCAATAAACTCTATATACTCTCTAATCAGCTGAGCAACTAACAATGAGTCGTTATATATCACAATGTTATATGGTGAAAAAATGGCGGTTTTTCCCATCCCGTCAACACCAGCACCAAGGACAGCGACATTCAGGCGGACGAGTCAATCAATGCTTGGAAGGGAGGAGGGGGGAGGGAGAAACAGTCACAATGCCAGCGAAAGAGCTGCGATCTGACGGTCACCGTAAAATACAATTAATTAGGAACCGAAATGGTTTAAAACATCTTTCCAATGGTTACTAAACCAGAATCCATCTTCTCAGTTGAAATTGTCTCTGTGTTTGTATATGTGGATGGCTTCATGAACGAATCTCTCATGGTAGCCGGTTGGCTTGCAAAGAACCTCCGTCTTGAAAAAGTCAATGTCATGTGAGCCCACTGAATTATAACAGTGATCTGCCACAGCAGAAGAGTTCGTCCTACCGTGTTTCAAGTTTGCTTTATGTTCGCGGATGCGGTCCGAGATATGTCGTTTGGTTTCCCCAATGCAGTTGCTACCACAGAGGCACTATAGTTTGTAAACGCCCGGGTACTGTATGTCTGGAACAGCATCTTTTACAGATGGAACCAGATCACGGATTTTATGTATTGTGTTGAATCGGTCCTGGATCTTGTGTTTATTCAGGATTTTGGGTATGGTGATGGTTTTGAGTGGCTCCTCAAGAGGATCCTTCTTCATGACTGGAGTGATGGCTTTGCGGATTGTGTAGTTGGAGTAACCATTAGCCTTGAGAGCCTGGTGTACGTGTTTGAGTTCACTGGCAATGTGTTCCTGGTCAGAAATGCATTGAGCTCTATGGTATAGAGTCTTGATGAGGGAGTTCTTCTGGGATGGATGGTAGTGGGAATTCGGTTTCAAGTAAGCATCTGTATGGGTAGCTTTTCTGTAGACAGAGTGGCTCATTGAACCATCAAGTCTCCTTTTAATTAAGACATCTAAAAAGGGTAGCTTGCCATCTTTTTCGACCTCCATGGTGAATCTGATGGATGGGTGCATGGAATTGATGTGGTCGAGAAATTGGTCTAGAGCAGGCTGGCCATGTGGCCAGATGACAAACGTGTCATTTACGTACCTCTTCCATAAGATTGGGCGTTGAGTGGCAGTCTGGATGGCGTCAGTCTCAAATTTCTCCATGAAAATGTTGGCTACAACCGGAGACAAGGGGGAACCCATTGGGGTGCCCTCAGTCTGTTTGTAGAAAGTTCCATTCCAGGTGAAGTATGTGTTGGTTAAGCAATGTCTCACCAGAGGGGGTACATCAGTATGCAGTCCTTGATGAACCAAGTCTTCAATGATTGCGATGGTGTCAGGTACCGGAACTTTGGTGAATAAGGACACCACATCAAAACTGACAAGCAGGTCGTCTGGGGACAGAGAAATGCCTTTGATTGTCGATACCAGGTGAGATGAATTTAGTACCGCAGAGGTGTTTTTTTGCAGTGAAAGGTCGCAGTATATCAGCCAGAAAACGTGCCAGTTTATAGGTGGGGGAGTTTATAGTAGAGACGATGGGACGAAGAGGTGTATCTTCTTTGTGTATCTTTGGGAGGCCATATAATCTTGGTGGTCTGGCAGCAGAGGGTTTCAACGAGAACTGTTTGGTCTGATCAATTGATGCTATTGAATCAGAGATTATTTTGTTCGTTTTGGTAACCAGGCTGTTGGTGGGATCTCTTTTTATTATTGTATAGCTGCCATCGTTGAGTAGTTCTTGAATTTTGTTGTTATATTCTGTATATCCATGATGACAGTGGCATTGCCCTTGTCGGCTGAGAGGATGACAATATCATCTCTCTTTTTTAATTGAGATAATTCAAAGCGTTCATCTTTGCTGATGTGGCTAGGTGGCATCTTAGCGTTTTTGAGGGTTGCAGCGATTTCAGATCTTGCTACGTCTGCAGCAATGTGACTCAAGCCCTTGAGTGCAACGTGAACATGGGCAATGATATCATTAACTGGTATGTGTCTCGGTGTGACAGCAAAGATTAGCCCTTTAGCTAAAACGGATTTCAAGCCAACAGAAATGGAACTGTTACTGCGATTAATTACGACTTTGTTAACGTCTATCTTTTCGGTGTGTGGACCCGATTTTTTGTTGGAGAGGCGATTAAATTTGGAAATCAAATTGTCCCTACATTTGGTCGAGATAGTGGCAGCCGAAGAGGTAGTCATATTGTCTACATGTTCCCAATCCGATGTAGACATCGTTGCTGTCAATGTTAAGTGTGATTTGTAGAGTGTCTTGTCTAACTGGTCAAGCTCAGTGCGTGTAAGTCTGATTTTTTTCGGAGATAAGAGCTAAACTAGATCTAGCTAGAATTCGTTTTGCATTAACAGAAGTTGCAGCAGCAGAGGTTAGTGTAAATGCGGTTGTTATTACCTTAGGTGAGAGACTCGATTAGTTGTGCCTTCTTGTCCCGGAGTCTGTTAAATGATCTTAAGGATGCGTGGAATCCCTCCCCGTAGAGGCGATTAAATTTCGATTTAAAGCTTTCGTGACTGCAAGGATTCATCTTCTTTGGCTCTTTCGGTAAAGTCACGTAGAATGAGAATAAAATAATAAAATAAAATTAGACAATAAAATTCTCACGACGTTTTGGCCACAACACAAGTAACCTTCTTCAGGTGAAAGAACAGAACTGTCGGGACGACAGAGCTTCAATTAACGCTGCTAAGATTCGCAGCGTCCTTTAAGCTCGGTGAGAGGTATGGCGAGCCTTTAAAAAGGAGTTCACATATCAAAACAGGAGAATTTAGCATTGAAAAAAACTGAGGGATTAGCTTGTGACAGAAATAGCTGTGTTAAAGTCAAAGTTTACATATCCATCGAGGCATTTAGTATATGGACGCTAAAGGCCTCCAATTACCAACTATTATAAAGTAAACCATAGCGTCTTTTAAGTTCGGTGAGAAGCGTGAAGAGCCTTGACAAAGGAGTTTACATATCAGAGCAGGAGAATTTAGCATTGAAATAGCCGAGGGATTAGCTTGTGACAGAAATAGCTGTGTTAAAGTCAAAGTTTACATATCAACAGAGGCATTTAGTATATGGACGCTAAAGGCCTCCAACTAACCAACTATCATAAAGTAAACCGATGTGAAAAAACTAAGTCTATATCACATCAATATAATAAATATACTTAATATATTCTTCAATAAGCTGAGCTATTAATCATACAGCAACTGGGTTTACATTACACTATATAATGAATACCATATAGAAACCAATAAAAATCTAAAATATAAGCTCCTCAATGTTATCAATAAACTCTATATACTCTCTAATCAGCTGAGCAACTAACAATGAGTCGTTATATATCACAATGTTATATGGTGAAAAATGGCGGTTTTTCCCATCCCGTCAACACCAGCACCAAGGACAGCGACATTCAGGCGGACGAGTCAATCAATGCTTGGAAGGGAGGAGGGGGGAGGGAGAAACAGTCACAATGCCAGCGAAAGAGCTGCGATCTGACGGTCACCGTAAAATACAATTAATTAGGAACCGAAATGGTTTAAAACATCTTTCCAATGGTTACTAAACCAGAATCCATCTTCTCAGTTGAAATTGTCTCTGTGTTTGTATATGTGGATGGCTTCATGAACGAATCTCTCATGGTAGCCGGTTGGCTTGCAAAGAACCTCCGTCTTGAAAAAGTCAATGTCATGTGAGCCCACTGAATTATAACAGTGATCTGCCACAGCAGAAGAGTTCGTCCTACCGTGTTTCAAGTTTGCTTTATGTTCGCGGATGCGGTCCGAGATATGTCGTTTGGTTTCCCCAATGCAGTTGCTACCACAGAGGCACTATAGTTTGTAAACGCCCGGGTACTGTATGTCTGGAACAGCATCTTTTACAGATGGAACCAGATCACGGATTTTATGTATTGTGTTGAATCGGTCCTGGATCTTGTGTTTATTCAGGATTTTGGGTATGGTGATGGTTTTGAGTGGCTCCTCAAGAGGATCCTTCTTCATGACTGGAGTGATGGCTTTGCGGATTGTGTAGTTGGAGTAACCATTAGCCTTGAGAGC